TCTCATATTTTCCTTGGAATTCTTATGATAACTCTTTTTGAAGGCACCAGTGTACAGGCTCTATCATACTAGTATATTATGGTTTACTGTCACTCTAACAGAATCCCACTGATCTTCCACACCTCATTTCTTGCCCCTTCCTAAGACTGCTGAATTACATGTATTTTTTGTGTGCCTTCAGCAAGACACAATCTGTGTATTATTAAATTGACCCTGGGTTGTCCTTTCTCTGAATGTCTCTCCCTTCAATAAAGCCAAAGTGTACTTTCAAAATTCCATAAAAATACTTACAGTGTGGGCATCTGATTGCTCCCTTTGGTTTGTCCCTCAAAAGTCCATATAGTGGAAGTTTGGTCCCAAGTGTGGTAGACCCTTTAAGAGGAAGCTCCTGGTGGGAGGTGACTGGGTCATGACCATCCTAGAAAAGGAATGAATTCGAGTCTTTTAAAGTGGATTAGGGCTCACAAGTGAATTAACTCCCAATAGAGTGAATTGTGATAAAAAGGATGAGCCTCTCCAATCTTTTGCTTCCTCTCTTGTCATATAAGCACTCTAACATACAATCCCTTCATGTGATGCCATCTGCCATGTTGTGATACAACATAGGGATCCTGCCAGACACCACTGCCATGCTGTTTGAGGCTGCCAGTCACTAGAATTATGAGCCAAATAAACTTCTTTTCATTAGATCCCATCCTACGTCAGATTTTTTGTTATAGCTACACAAAATGGATTTAGACACTCCTCTCAATTCAGAGCTACTCTGGTTTATTATCTCAGCGCTAACATTTTCACATTCAGATTATATGCTTCTTAATGTCCCATTGCTCCTGTGGCTCTTGCCATCTGTTACTTTTATTGTTGCTGCGCTTAGCTAGCATTCTGTATGTTTCCTTCTCTCTTCTGCCTCTGTCCTTATTCTGTAGCCCATATTTTTTAATTTCTTATCAATCACTTGATTTTTACAGTCATCACTGGCTAAGACTCCCATTGGTCTGAACATGGTATCACTCTAGATGAGCACTGAGCTCTGCTTGAATCCTCTCCCTTTCTCAGCTCGTTCTTCCCTTGCCCACAGCCAGGGACTACTTTCACATGACTGCATGTATTCACTGCATGTATTTTCTTTTTCACATTTCCAGTACTGCCAAAGCTCCAGCTCTCATTCCTCTGAATAAAACTAATGTGTGATTAATTTGTGTGATCACTAGCTCCACTCTCAAGTTCATTAACTACTTCTCAAAATGTCCTGAGTATGTTGTCACATCTGTACTAGTTTGAGTGTAGAGTTGTTTAAGACTTAATTTTGGCTTTCAGAAATACTCTTGATAATAAAAGCCCTGTTGGAATATCACAGGAGCATTTTTTTAAGCTCCAAAATTATTGGCTAAGCCATTCTTCTATCAAGAGTCTATTCAAAGTATAAAATGAGTAAAATTGGTATTTATAATTTCTTCCATTTCTACCATTGCTCTTCACTTTGCAAGCAGAGAAGAGGCAACAATCATGGTTTATACCTACATGTTCATATTCACCTACTCCAACATTGATGCCCCTTTGACTACTTCCCTGACTCCCTAAACAAATCAGTCATTCCCAAGGTCTACTATCTTATAGTA